AAAAAAAAAAAAAAAAAAAAAAATTTATATGAATATAAGTCTAGAAATGTTTAATTATCATGTTACATTGAGAAAAAAGAAATTTGTTCAATTTTCCATTTTAAAATGCTATCCCCTGTTTCTAATGCAAGATTAACATTGTTGAGAAATTGAATTTAACACCCTATGAATATCATATCTATCTTGCTTTAGTTCAGCAAATACATCATTGATCTTGTCTATCAGTTCCTGTTGCGAATCAGCTCTTATATAGTAGACTATCATTTTCGCATTTCCCTATAGATAAAAGTCTAGCTGTGTAAGATCTGATGATTTCAAGAGCCACACAATTCGTCCTCTTTAAATAAACATTGCCAATCTATTCTTACATCGCATAACTTATTAACAGCGAATCCGCTATTCATATTCGATATCATATAATATTTTAATAAAGCATTTGTAGATCTGTTTATATAATCTTTTTTTCTCATGGAACATACTGGTAATGTTTGATCGTTAAATCTTAAAACACCCTGCACAAGTGAAGAAATCACTGTGTAAAAATAATCATACAAGTCCTAATCGCAAGTTTCACAATATAAAGAATTAGTGAAACTACTCTAACCACAACCACCCAGGAGCAATCCGGGGAGTCCGGCTGGTATATACCTCTTCATAGTTGGGTTTACTATTGTTCGAGTGTCGTGGCCGCTCGGATCTCGGCGGCGGTGGTTTCCTGGTGGACCAGTTCGTCCTGATGCTGCGCGAGCCCAGCCATTGGCCGTTCATCGCGTTAATCGCCGCCTCGGCCTCGGACTTCTTGACAAACGACACGAAGGCGTAGCCTTTGCTCTTGAGCGTCTGCGGATCCCGGACGATCCTGCAATTGCTGATCTCGCCGAAGGGCGCGAACGCCTCCTTCAGCGTCTGCGTCTCGATTTCCGGCGAGAGGTCGCCGACGAATATGTGATGATGATTGCTGGTGTCGAGTTTGGGCTGATTGCCCGGACTGGTCGCCCAGTTAACCTTCATCTCCTTGTCGAGGAAGGATCGTTTGTTCATGGCGGCCAACGCTGTGGCCGCGCTTTGGTGATTCGTGAATTCGACGAAGGCGTACGGATCGTTGCCGGGCTCTCGGATAATCTTGCACCCCTTTACCGCGCCAATCTGCGAGAAGAGGGCGCATAGAAGATCCTCGGACACCGAGGCGTCCAGGTTGCCCACGTACAGGGTACGCGGATTACTTTCCTCGCTCATAATTCACGTGAACGGGCGCACTTTTGCTAGACTAGGTGAGAGATGGCGAGAGAGATCTCTCGTCGAGAGATTCGTTCGGTTCGTTTGCACACTTTCCAGCCCTCTAGCCACGCCGAGACTGCCCCTAGAAGAGCGCTGCTAACACAAGCGCGCGTCGTTACAAGATTATAGGCGCGGAGAGAACTCAATGACAAGCTGGACAGCTGATTTACATTACCCGCGTGAAAATACCTGACCGTGTGTATTTAACTGCTCGCCATCGGGCACGACGTCGGTCGCTCTCTTCAAGCGAGAGTCGATTATCTTTTTTCCCTCGCGTACAACGGCAAAGTTACACCCAGCCTCTCTACGTCATACTCACACTAAAAACTAAAATGGCCGCCTCGCGGCTCTTGCCGTTTCCTTTCGCACGCGCGCGTGCAAACGAAATGTCTCTTGACACGACGCCTTCCACCACCACCAACACTAGTACTACTACTACTCTACTACTACAACTACTACACTACTACTCTGCTACTCCAAAAGTCCCGTCAACGCTGCACCGATTAACCTATAATAATAAATACGGCGACTACCGATGAAATTCACCGACCGACACGTGTTTTTGTATTACTAGTCAATCTTTCATATCGGATAGCGCGAAAACCAACACCAATCATTGGTCTTACGAAACTCACTAGGCGCGTTCGAATCTGTTCTGCTTATATATACCTGGGTTGCGTTCCAAAATTTACTACTTCAAATAGAGTAGCGATTTGCTTCACCAATCAGGATAGAAGAATATTTTTTTCTCTCCACGTTGGGCTGTGTTCCGATTCCCCACCCGGGTGCATTCGATATTATAGTGTACGTGACATATACTATATGTCTATAATCGGAACACAGCCTTGGAAAGAGAAAGATATAGCGTTTTCGAATGTAGCAGGTTTAGTCCCTGCGCACAATAGAGAAAATATTAGGAATAGGAATACAATATTAAATATTAGGAGGAACAATTTGGAATTATTTTATTTCAAACAAGGAAACGGAATGGATTAATTATTTCTAATATTTATTTTTTTATTTCATTATGCGTTAATCCATTCTGTTTCCTTGTTTGAAGTAAAATAATTCCAAGTTGCTCCTCCTGATATTTAATATTTTATTCCTATTTCTAATATTTCCTTTATTGTGCGCAGGGCCTTAATCGCTCTGAGAGCGATTAATGACGCCATTGCATTGTCTTTGCCAATAAAAGGCTTGAATTCATAGTAAAATATAGTGATTAATTGATCCGGGTTGGATTAACCCGTTCATTCGAAAACGCTAATAAACTCAGGGAGTCGATTATGTATCTTTGAAACGAAGTGAAAATTACAAAAGTGAACAGATTTACTAGATTTCGACAAATGAAATCGTAGATACTGTAGTGAATTTACTCACTTTTGTCATTTTCATATCTTTTTAAAATACACAATCAACCGTCTGATCTAGTCACTGATACCGACGAGATACTATTAAAGACCGTCAGCCCTGGGTAAACTTTTGTGACTATCAAGTGGGCCCGGTGGGCCCGGAGGTAATTGAAGAATGTTGACATTACCGGCCGTTTGATTGGATCGAATATAATTACACGAATAATTTAATTTGTACGGTTATTTTACTTCATCCAGTTATTATTTTATTATCGAAAACACACTAAATCCCATAAGACCACCGGTCTTTAATGATATATCGTCGGTGTCACTGATCTATATATCAGCAGGATTGCTTAGCTTCCTGGCGATGTACCCTTAGAACATATATAAATGGAAGGGAAATGCCTTTGTTTCCCGATAGAAAAACATGTCGACGAA